TTTAACCCATCAGAGAAATTAACTTATTAAAATAGTGTAAACTATGAGTAGGTTCAAAGAATGTTGAAACTTGAAAGTGCGCTTATATCTATATACATATATATATATATTAACCTCTCAAAAAGTATTACCCTCATTTTTATTATTTCATTTTTTAGTAATAAAAGTATATATACTCCTTTATTCTTTAATTAGATGCATGGTTTATCTTTTTTAATAAAATATTAGGAGTATATTTTGTTTGTGTATTGTTATGAAATTATGTCATATAGTTATTAATGTGAATATATTAACTAAGTAGTCAAGAAATATATGTAAAATTTGAAACTTAAAAAAAAATAAATTATAAGTTCAATGAGGAAACAAAATAATAAAATTAGAGTTTACATTTCTTATACAATAATTTAGAATATCCAATAGGGGTATAATAATGATCATTCTAAAAAAATAAATGAAAAATCAAAGAAATATATAGAAAGTAAACAATTGGGCATCCAATTCACAATCCTATTGTGGATCGGGATCTGCATATTGGTTTTCTTAATCTGAAATAGTTAGCGAAAGAGTGAACTACACTACCCTAGTAAGAATGTCACACTACTTACCGATACAGAAATGAAGGTTGGTAAAAATCATAAAAATAACTAATGTAGTTCTTAATTTAAGTAAATTCATTTATCATAAATAAAATTATTTATTATATACTTACTGTAGCGATATTTTCAAAATCGACATATAGAGACAATAACACAAACAACATCATAATCTAATTTTCAATTAATCAGAACAATAATTTTTTATTTTTACCTGTCTACTAGTATCCACGATGGTCCATAGGGATGTCCCCACTACACGTGAAACCCTTATTCAACATTATCAACTAACCGGTCGTCCCTATACCCCGTCCGGTATGAGCGCCAAAAGTATCATCCATAAATACCCTATCCGGTATGAGGGTGAATCGAGTCGTCCCATACTCGATTCGGTATGAGTGCCAAAAGCATCATCCTTCAATACCCCGTCTGGTATGAGGGTGAAACAGATCGTTCCCATACCTCGTCCGGTATGAGTGCTAAAATACCAATTCTCGATAATCCGTCCGGTATGAGGCAACATTTACGATAGAGTTTTCTATGTACCCGATCCGTCCATTATCTCACAGGATATCCAGTAAAGCTACCATTCATTCATTCACTTAATCAATCAATTTTTCGTTAATATTTAATTTTCAGTTTTACAATTTAACTGTAAATCATGCAAAATAAGCAATACATCCATCAAGAAAACATAATTGAATCATCTTACCAATTCCAATATACTATTATTCATTTAAAACTGTAAGATCAAACAATCAGTTATAACAAGACAAACAATAATAAATAATTGATTTCGGCTCCATT